CCCGTGGCTCCCCACCATTAGCCTAGGGGGCCCACACAGCGCCAGGCACATGGTGAAGACATGAATGGTCAGGGCCATTCCTGTCGGAGGTCTCTAAATTAGATACGTGCTATCAGTTAACCGTTTAACCAATATAATTAGAAGAGGTTAAACAAGTAATTTTTTAAATGATAACTTTAACTTTAATCTTAATTCCTGTCCAGGGGTTCTGCTTTTCAGTGCCTATGTTTTTATACCAGTTAGACTATTTTGTCACTAGGTGGCACCACTTGTCTGTGTTAGAACTCAAGTGACAGAATTACTGATTTCTGCCCAACTTTACATAGCTAGTTTACTGTGAGAGAAAATACGATTTGTTACCATAGTGCCTAGGACCCCGGTCATGGAACAGAACCTTATTTTATATAATACTAGAATGTGATAGTTTTCATTGTCGGCTGAAAAGAAAGTTTCTGTTGAAAACATCCGCATCTGGTTTTTCAGACTTTCCTGACAAGTTTCCTGGAGATATGAGATAACTATGCACTCAGTTGTCTTGTCCTAAACTTTCCAATAGTAACCAACTATTGCAGGTTAGCCAAAAACACTAGAGGAACTGTTTGAGGAAATACTTCACTGGACTGAATGGTGATGAGCCTAACTTTTTTTAATATTGTATGACAAAATGATAATCAGATGTTCTATAGACAATTTTTTCTGTATTGCTTTTAATCGCTGTCTCTTAGGCAGGAAGTTGCTCCAGTAATATATCTATTCATTACTCAAAATGAATGCAATTAATGCAGAGTTGCTGTAGTTATTAGTAGCCAGATTATGTGGAGGCCAAATTCCCATGTTGCCTCTTTAGCAAATTTTCTGAATCCCCATTTTACCAAAAGGACAATTAATCTTGTATTCTTTTTTGTTTTCATTACAGGATATGACAAGGCAGCCAAGATTGCCAAAACTGCACACAAAGAAGGGACAACACTAAAAGAAGCTGCTATTAAGCTTGGATTCCTTACATCAGAACAGTTTGATCAATGGGTGAAGCCTACGGAGATGCTTGGTCCTCAGTGACTTTAACAAGTGTACTTAACAGAAGAATTTAAATTTGTAATATAAAATATTATGGAGCCTGTTTGTTTTGTTTCTCGTTGTCACTTGCCTCATGAATGACCATGTATTTTTCCTATGCGAGATATAAGGCTAAAACGGTTTTCTGACATGACATAACATACACAGAAGAAAAATATTTCCCCGGAAGATTGCTATAGTGGCAGCTCAGTACCAGGATTATTTAGTTAAGACTTTCATTTCTGCTTCCCTTCCCTCATCTAACACTACAAGACATTTTTCTTTAAAGTAATAAACCTGAAGGATGCTGAAATCAGCAGGGTTCTTGGTTTTTGAGCACAGTCTTCTAGGGGGAAACTAAGGGTCCTGAATACAAATAGAATAGCTTCCTGCAACCCCCTGGCTGAAGCACCAGGTGGGGAAGCTACAGCACAAATACAGGTTTCCCTGGCTTTATGCAGGTTCTGTGTGTGTGAATTCACTCTTATGCGATGACCTTTTTCTGCCAAAAATTTGTTATATGCGAGGCAAACTCACTCTTATGCGATTGCTGTGGTGGAAGCCTGCAGTCAGCTGCTTTGTGCGGTGCAGTGTGGGAGTGACGCGCACCAAACTATAGTCTGTGGATCTGTGCTCCTCGCTTGTCTGCAACACGCATTTCTGTAGTTGCCGTCCCCATTCTAGTGCTCTGTGCCTGTGTGTACTGCCTACTGTTGGCGAGTACCAAAAATGTTTTGTAAAATGGTAGACAAGGTTCCTTGGGTGAATTTGATATCTTTTATTAGACTAACCCCAATAGTTGGAGAATAGTTATTAAGCAAGCTTTCGGGTTCAAAAACCCTTTGTCAGGCTAAGGAAGTTTCAACAGTTGGTGTGTGCTCTTCCTGGATGGAATGAATTCACCCAAGGATCCTCGTCTGCCTATGTCCTTAGACCAACACGCCTACAACCTACACCCCTGGAACTTGTAAAATGGTAGAAATGGGTCTGGGGGTCAGTACAGTCAAGGTCTTGGAACTATCCCCATTTGTTATGTTGTAAAGTGGGTTCCCTTTATGTGAATTTGAGTTATGTGCTGTTTTCCAGGAATGCATGTACAGCATAAAGCGAGGGAAACCTGTAAGTGTGCCCAGGCTGTACTGAGGAGGCTGAGGGTCTTGCCTTGTCCGGTGCTGGGGGGGAGCTGCCTCTGTTCTGCATGATCCTGCTCTCGCCCTGGCTGCTCACCCTTTCCCTGGGAGCCTTGGGGGAGGTGAGGCAGAGTGCGGCATGAGCCCAGAGCTTTCAAGCAGGCACCTAGGATGCAGAGAGGTACTGGCCCCGCTACCCCAGGGGCTTCTTGAGCTCCTTGCAGTAGAGACAGAGTTGTTGGTGCAGGGACACGGGCAGGCCTGTGCTTTGGCTAGATGCGATCTCGAACTGGGCCACCTGCGTCGGGGGAACGAAGCTGTGAGGTCTGGGGCACAGACGCCCTTCCTTATGCTTGCTCCCGGAAGCTGGCACAGAGCTTTGTTCCTGCAGCTAAGTGGGTCTCGCCCTTTAACTATGCAGATGACTGTTGCCCCGCCCCGTCCCCTCAAGGAAGAGTGCGATTGGCCCGTGCCCACCCCCCCCCACCTCTCGGCCAGGAGGGCGGAAGAGCCGGCGCACTCACTATGCCCTCACTTCCGCCCGTGCTTGGAGCCGTTTCCCGTCCCTCGCGCTGCGGGATTGGCTGCGGGGAGCTCGGGGCGTAGGCGCAGTAAGCGGCGCCCGGGAAGGGCGGGCTCACGGCGCATTTCCGGGTTGGGGGCGCTGCGGTCTCGGTGCGGCTCGGCTCGGATCCCGTCGCCATG